CTGCCGCTGCCTCTGCCTCTGCCGCTGCTGCTGCAAAAAAAAATATATTATTATAAACATGTTGCGCTCGAATGACTCGCACAAGCAATTAAAGGAGAGCCGGTTCGGAACCGAACCATGAACCAAAACGGCGCAACAACAACAAAACATCAAACAAAAACAAATTGCATTTAACATTTCCCAATAAAAACAGAGAGAAAACGTTAGATGGGAAAAGGGTTATTTATGAGTATCTATCAGTGGATAGATATATATTTGTGTCTGTCAAAGATTGAGATACATTGTATCTGTATCTATAAGAGTAACAGATACAATATCTAAGATATCCACTTGTTGCAATTTTAGGTTAAGATACTTCTTTCGTGCGCATATAACCTTGAGATACATTGTACTTGTATCTCGAGAAGAGGGCGAGAGCCATTATCTAACAGCCATTTACTGCATTGAGATATCGAGCTGCTTTATAGAGAATTATAGCTATGAGATACTTTTGGAATAATCTGCAAGCGTTTGTATCTATTGCAGATTGAGATACATTATGTTTGTATCTGGAGAGGATTTTAAAATACATGATATTCAACTTCATTACCTTCAGATACTTTTGTATCTCAAAGTGTGCAAGATACATTATTCAAAGTCTACCTCCATAGCTATTAGATTGAGATACATTTGTATCTAAAGCAGTTATGAGTTGCTGTTCCAATCTATCTATAAATGAAAGATGCATCATGATAAACTGCTTGAGATACATTGATGCATACCCTTTAGATACATGTATCTAACATGCGTAATACAAAGAAATTTACAAATCTGAAGCACTTTGAGCAATTTTTGGATTTGCTTTCTGGCTAGCTGCCACAGATACTTGGATAAGCAGATTGAGATACGTTGTAGCCAACTTGTAGGTGTTTGTAACTATGACACATGGATACATTGTATGCGGCATTTATATAAAGCAGACTGCGATACAATGTTCGGTGGTATCTTAATTAATCTACAAGCACTTTCAGCTAACTTGTAGTAAATCAGATTGAGATACTTTTCGCTTTGGTCGACTAGTTGTTGCCTGCAGACTGCGAAACACAGCAGAGTTCAGCTCAGTCAGATTCTTGCTACCTTTAGATAAGTCTACGCACAGTAGATACAAGTAACTCTGTAATGCTTAACCAGATTCCGTTAGGTTATTGCAGTTGCAGATACTTTGTATCTCAAACACATGGAAGAGCTTATTGCCATGATATATTCAAGATAGTTTTTGGCAACTATATACTTGATAGCACAGTAGATGCTAGATGGATTAGCAATACTTGCGCATACTTTGTATCTTTTTGATGTTTAGTTGTAAGCAAACTTGTAGATGCGCAGCTTATCTCCTGCACTTAGATACTTTGCGGCTATGTCAGGCATTTGTAGTGTGACGCGTGCTACACTCTACATATAAAGCATGGATGGTATTTGGTGCACAAGTTGAACAGAAAATAAAAAACAGGCCACTGCGGCACGCACGGCGCAATGTGCACAGTCCATTTGCAGCCGTATCTATGCATCAGCCTGTGGCTGTGTGTATCTTTAGCTCTATCTCGAATCTCTGTAGTTGTAGCTGTATCTGTATCTTTGACTGTATCTGCATCTGTATCTGTATCTGGCCACTGGGCGCTCCAACAAAAGAGACAGCGTTCCGTCCGTATAAATAGTGCCATCGTTGCGCTATTTTTGTTGAAATATTCCGTACGCTTGCGCTCTCATTCATGCAGCTTCAGCCGCTGCCCCACCCACCGTCCTGCTTGCGTCCCACAGCTCCACCTGCTTGTGCTTTGAAATTTATTTATTTATTTCTATTTTCATTTAGTTTGTCTTGTTTTATTCTGTGTTTATTCTTTTTTATTTTTATTTTTTTTATTTTGTCACTTTGTCAGGCTGGGCAAATGCTTGGCTTTTCTAGCCTTTCTAGCTATATCTTTAGCTGTCTCCTATATATATATATATACATGTCCATGTATATGTGTGTGTGTTTATTAATATAGACAACGCTTGTCGTTCACATTTTGCTTTTCAGGTGCATTTTGAGGTGTCGTGACAGCAAATTCTTGCCACAAATTATGCGCACCAAAAATAATTGAAAAGAAAAATATTGAAAAAAATTGAAAAAAAAAAACAAGTAAGAGCACTGCAGTCGGGCGTTACCGACTGCCGAATACTCATTCACAGATAGTTTTACCGGTTTGACACGCCCCCATGGATTTAGATATATCATACATATTATATTGATTTTAGGCTGTCAACCGAGCCGTAGAAATGACATTCGATAAATTCTTAGAAGATGTCTAGGTAACTTAACTACACTAGAATGATATCCTGCCTTTTCATTTTCAATGGGCTCAGGGTTAAAATTTACAGGGTATTTTTTAGTTTTCTATCTATTTTTCTTCATCATTTTTAAACTACAAAATCCATTCATTTTCATTAAATTAAATACTCTTTTTTCTATATTTTCAATAATTTTATCAATATTTTTCTATCCATTTTCCATATTTTTTTCAATTTATTTGAAGTTTTTTTTTTTTTTTT